CGAGTGAAGGGCGGGGTATACATCCAATCTCCTCCTCCTCCTTCTCTTGGTTGCTAAGATGTACTTCTTTTTTTAAGACTGCCTTCCTTAAAGACGTCCACCCCTCTCCCTCCCCTTGAGTTTTTCGTCTTGACTTAACCTGACCTGATTGATGTGGTTCAATATCCTACATAACAGCCAAATGAGGCCCTAATTGGGTGAATCATCCAGGCTGGGTCCTGGGAGAGCCGGAAGCTTTTTATATCTATGTTTATGTAAAATTCAATAAAGCTTTTGAAAAAGGAAAGGGGGGGGAATTCTGGTTTCCGAAAAAGAAGAGAATAGGAAGTCAGGGCTGTGCTTGGATATGATAGATTTCCTGCATGGAATCGAAGAAAAAAACAATTCTGTGTGCGGAAGGAAAGCAGGAAACAGCATTATGGAGGGAGTTGTAGGGGCTGGTCCCACCTTGTATGGAGCTGCACATGCAGCTTGCTGTGGTCATCCCAGTACAAGTGCTTGCATGGAAGAGCATCATGTGATTGATTAATTAATTAGTTTGTTTTTTGAATTTATAGTCCGCCCTCCCTGCGAACGGGCTCAGGGCGGATCACAACAATAGCTAGGCCATTCGGCAATACAGACACTGTTACGGGTGCTTGCACACCCACTTTGCAACTGGATTTTACTGTGTGAAATGGCAAGATTCGTTTCCAAACAGTTGCTGAAGCAGCTTGAAACGGCATTATTTAGCATGTGTGAAAGCCCATGTGTGAAAGTGAATGAAAACAGCATTTAAAACAGCATTTAAAAACAATCTGTGCTGATACTGGTGCGCTGGACTCTGGGTTTGCATAGAGGCAGGGGTCATTTCCTGCTGGAGCGCACAGGAGCGGCGCTCCGGCAGTAAAGAGCCCAGGAGGTGGGCACATGCAACAAGCCCCGCCCCCTGCTCCCAGCAGCCCTCAGTCAGAGCAAGAGGCAGCCAGGTAAGTTGCAGAGCTCCCCCCCCGCCCCCCCAGTCCAAAACAGTCCACTGGCACCTTTAAGACCAAGTTTTATTCAGGTACAAGCTCTCCCTCCTCTGCGAGGACAGATCTGCACGTCCCCCATCCCCCCCCAAACAGCTAGCAATCCAAAACAGTCCAGAGGAGCCTGAGCAGTGGGTGTTGCCTTCTGACACACTTCCGGTGATGTCAGGGGGAGTGGCAAATGCAAATAAGTTATGGTAATAAGTTATGCTAATGAGCTCCTGCACCTCTTTTTCTACGAAATGACCCCTGCATAGAGGTGGCATCTTCAGCAGGGGAGGCTGAGTTCTTTACTGGACGCCCGCCCCCTCAACCAAAGGCCTGGCAGAACAGCTCCATTTTACAGGCCCTGTGGAGTGGTACAAGATCCTACAGGGCCCTGATCTCACACGGGAGGATGTTCCACCAGGCCGGGGCCAGGGAGGAAAAAGCCCTGGTCCTGGTCAAGGCTAAATGGACATCCCTCAGGTCAGGGATAACCAGCAGATCTCGATCAGCAGAGCACAAAGCTCTCCGGAGCACATAGTGATCGTGGAGACCACATCACTTCAGTCTTGGCCTGTCTACACTGGCCCCCCGGTTTGTTTCCTGGCCCGATTCATTGTTCTGCTTTTTGAACTTCAAAGCCCTATAGGGTTTGGAAGTAGGGGTTCCAGCAGTGGGCTCAGATATACCTGGGGATTTGGGGTGTGTGTGGAGCCTGGGGAGGGCAGGGACCTCAGCAGGGTGCGGGGGGTAGAGATGTGAAGGCCCGGAAAAAACCTGTTCCCCTCCTGTTTTTTTCCTGAAGCCTTTTTTGTTTTTTTTCTGAAAAATTGGAAAAATTGAAAAAAGAAAAAAATTGATTATGGAACATTTTATTTTAACGTGATGAATAAAATATTTTAAGACAAGGTGTTAAAATATTTTCCAAATCATTTCTAAAAAATATGTATGGTATCAGATTGATCTAATTTCTGTGCACTGAGGACAAGCAAGTCCCAGGTTACAAACTGAACTCTCCAATGCAAGAACAAGATGCATTTCTTCCTTTAGAACGTGCTACTGTCACAAGAAAAAAAAGGTTTCAGTTTTGTTTTGTTTTTGCCTGTGGGTGGGTATTCTGTTTGTAATCATTGTTTGGATTTTTAATATGCTAGTTGTGATAATTTCATGCCAAGTAAAAATGTCCATAGTCATATTTTATGTTCCTAAAGTAAGAGAATGACTTTCAATCTGGAAAAGAAAAAAGAAGTGCTAATGTAGCATTTTTTTTTCAATTTTCCCGAAAATTTCCATTTCTCCTCGGAAAAAAAAGGTTTTTTTTTCCGAGCTTCAAAATTTCCAGAAATTTTACATCTCTAGGCACACAGCCCCACTTCTCCCCCAGAGCATTTAAAGGGACCTTTAAATGCTTGGGGAGAGAAGTGGCTCTCGGGGGGGCTTCGTGTTAATTTCAGTCCCCCCCCCCCGTTTTTTTAAAGGCTCCCCAAATTAAAAGATCTTGGCTATTTCTGTTGTCTGGAAATCAGTCGTCGTAGTGGGAGATCTCCAGGCCCCACCTGGAGGTTATGGGAAAGTATATGACCCTGTGTATAATAGATGTTTGCTTAAGGTCGATCTATTTTGTGCTTTTTCTTTTTTAAATTTTTTTTCTATACTGTTATAGAAATATTGGTGAAATAGAAATATTGCGAAACTCACAAGGTGCTGTTTGAATGTCTGAACATAGTGTAGAAGAAGAAGAAGAGATTGGATTTATACCCGGCCCTTCACTACCCAAAGGTGTTTCAGAGCGGCTTACAAATTCCTTTCCCTTCCCCTCCCCACAACAGGCACCCTGTGAGGTAGGAGGGGCAGAGAGAGCTCTTGACAGAAACTGCTCTTTTTCAAGGACAGCTCTTATCAGAACTACGGCTTGCCCAAGGTCATCCAGCCAGGTGCGAGTGGAGGAGTGGGGAATCAAACCCGTTTCTCCCAGATTAGAGTCCGCGCACCTAACTACTACACCAAACTGCTACACCAAATATTTGTTCATGTCTTGCGGCTCTCAAACATCTGACATTTATTCCATGTGGCTCTTACCTTAAGTAAGTTTGGCCACCCCTGCTTTACACGTTTAATTGAACTTCAAGACCTGCTAAATATGCAATAGAAGAGAGAGAAGAGATTGGATTTATACCCTGTTCTTCACTACCCAAAAGAGTCTCAGAGAGGTTTACAATCTCCTTTCCCTTCCCCTCCCCACAACAGACACCCTGTGAGGTAGGTGGGGCTGAGGGAGCTCTGACAGAAACGGCTCTTTTTTTAAGAACAGCTGTGCCAGAACTACGACTTGCCCAAGGTCATCCAGCCAGGTGCAAGTGGAGGAGTGGGGAATCAAACCCGGTTCTCCCAGATTAGAGTCCACGCACTTAACCACTACACCAAACTGGCAGTGTAAACCTGCACTTTGATATATTGTTTTGGTGAAACTTCTATTTGGTAATACTTGACACCAATGTTTATATAGCAGTATAGAAAAATTTTAAAAGGAAAAAGAAAAAGCAGAGAATAGATCTACTCAAGCATACGTCTGTAACACACGGTGTCATATACCTTTCTATATCTTCCTAACACCGTGACCCTCGGTTTTTGTATTGCCTACCTGGAGGCTGGCAAACCTGTTTGGGACCAACACACCTGAAGGACTGCCTACTCCCTTATGAGCCTGTGGTCACTTTTGGAGGCCCTGCTTTGCTCCACCCCCCCTTTTGAGCAATGCTCCCTCTAAGCTGTGGAGTCCTGTGAGCAAAAATTCTTCTTTGTGAGCTCCTGGAATTAAAGTTGTGAGCATGTGATTTGGCTGCTGCACAAATTAGTTTGCTCTGGAGCCATCCTTCCTGAGCTAAGACAAAAAGGTGTGAGCCAGAGGCTAAAAAACTGTGAGCTAGCTTACACTCACTCAGCTCACTAACTGCTTCTGAGTTTAGGTGGCTGGCAAGCCGTGAACTGTCAGTCGTGACTCCAAAATGCTGAAACTCTTTCCTCGAGGAGATTTGTTTGTTTGCCTTCTTTTGCTGTCTTCCACCAGCGGGTGAAGACATTCTCTCAGTGTTCCTTCCCTTCTGGCCAGTGTTTTAGTTGTTGATTTTATGTCTTTGTACGTATTTAGCTCTGTTTTTAATTGTTTTAATAACGTGTGTGTGTGTGTGTGTGTGTTGGGAGGGGTTGATTTTAATGGTTCTGAAATGTGGTTTTTATCATGTCTGTTCTAATTTGTTAGCTGCTTTGGTGGCCCTTGTGAGGGCCAGAAAAAAGGTAAGGTAAAGGATCCCTTGCTCGAAAGCCAGTCGAGTCCGACCTAGGGTTGCGGTGCTCATCTCCGTTTCAAAGCCAAAGAGCCAGCGCTGTCCGAAGACGTTTCTGTGGTCATGTGGCCAGCATGACTAAACGCCAAGGCGCGCGGAATGCTGTGACCTTCCCACCAAAGCGGTACCTATTTATCTACTTGCAATTTCTTGCTTTCGAACGGCTAGGTTGGCAGGAGCTGGAACTAGAGACGGGAGCTCACTCCGTCATGCGGCAACTCGAGTCTTGAACTGCTGAACGACCGACCTTCCACAGCCTGCAGTTCAGTGTCTTAACCACTTGAGCCACCGCAGCTCCAGAAAGGCAGGCCCTAAATTTTGTTAAACAAATAAATAATGAACGGAACCCTTCACGTGTAGGAAATAACGTACCACGCTCAGGTAGCCCCTTATTTATTTATTTATTTATTTTTATTTATTAAATTTCTACCCCGCCCTCCTGCCGAAGCGGCTCAGGGCAGCTTACAGACAATATAAAACCAACATAACAATTTAAAACCAGCAAATACAAGATATAAAATACAGTTCCATAAAATTCCAATAAATACAGTTAAGCTGAATAAATACAGCGGCATCCTGTAATAAAGTGCTCGTGCGACCCAACCGGTGCAGTCAGTTCTTATTGGTATGCCTGGCGAAGCAGCTCCGTCTTCTCGGCTCTATGGAACTGCTGAAGGAACTTCAGAGACCCTGGATCCAGGTGAAGAGGCCTGTAAATTTCACTCGCTTGCCAGTATGTCTGATGCCGCTGGCCCTTCCCTCCCCAAGGTTTAAAATGTAATAGATAGTTCTTGGAGAGTAAAAAGGTAAAGGTTCCCTTGCTCGAAAGCCAGTCGAGTCCGACTCTAGGGTTGCGGTGCTCATCTCCGTTTCAAAGCTGAAGAGCCAGCGCTGTCCGAAGACGTTTCCGTGGTCATGTGGCCGGCATGACTAAACACCAAGGTGCACAGAACGCTGTGACCTTCCGACTGAAGTGGTACCTATTTATCTACTTGCAATTTCTTGCTTTCGAACTGCTAGGTTGGCAGGAGCTGGAACTAGAGACGGGAGCTCACTCTGTCATGCGGCAACTTGGGTCTTGAACTGCTGAACTACTGACCTTCCACAGCCTGCAGTTCAGCGTCTTAACCACTTGAGCCACCGCAGCTTCTTGGAGAGTAGGAGGGTTGAAAATCACTGTCTCCTCCCAAAGACTCAGACATAGCACCAATATGCCATTGAAACTTACTGCCAGAGAGCCGGCGACTGTGGGAAACATGTATAAATCACCTCTTTGTAGAAGAGGCTTGGAGGTGATTTCACACAATCACTCGGCATAGGCCAGCTTCTGGGAAAGAGTAGGAATTACCAAACATACAGTTTGCTAAGGGGAAAAGTGACAGCTAGTGTCGGGAAGGACAAGCCTCCGGAAAGGTGGGAGGGAGGCAGATCCAGTCCCGTAAATAAATCTGCAGAAATGTACAAGCCTGCACCATGCTTGATGGCCTTCCTGCCTAAAGCATGCCATTTGAAGTCCTTCACTGCGTGGTCGCCTGGAGGCGATTGTTAACTTGCCATAGGCGAGCAGGAAGTGGGTAATTACGCAGAGAAGAGAGGCAGGCAGGACGGGAGCTGGCCACACTGATTGGGTCCGGGGCTGGCTATTGCCCCTGCAAAGATCCAGCCCTGACCTGAACCTTCTGTCAGGGATGTTGTCCCCCCCCCAGCCAAATCCCCTCTGTGATTTGACCCAGCCTCTCAAAATTAGACATTCGTGTTCGGTTTTACTTGTATTTTCTACTGATATACAGTTTCCAGCACTTTCATATTTGATGCTGACTCTTAGGAATTTTGAACAAAATAAACAGCACCACCACCACCCCCGGCTTGTCGCTGCTACCAGCGTTTTTTGTGTTTGTATGTGAAATCCCTTTAACCACAAGATGGGAGAGGAAACCAGATAAAATCTAATTCGCCTGGCCAATTTGAAGCTGAGCAGCCGGGTCCAGGTTTGTTTATTGGCAGTCTGCGCTCAATTGAATTCTCCGCCTTTGCTGTTTTTCATGGAAACTGGAATAGGTTGGGGGGGGGGGGGAGCCAGAGTCCAAACTGCATTATCTCCACTGATGTGATTATGTTTCCTATTCCTTTTTTAAAAAAAAATTGTTTAAAAAGAGGATATAAACACACTAGAACAAAAATATCAGGGCGTAGTTGGCTGAAGACAAATGAACGAAACGGGAGGGGCTCAGTTGTGAAGCACTTGCTTTGTGGGCAGAAAGCTCCAGGTGCCACCTTCTGTCATTCCAGGTGAAGGATATGAGCAATGCTCCCTCTAAGCTGTGAAGTCTTGTGAGCAAAACTTCTACTTTGTGAGCTGCTGGCATCAAAGTTGTGAGCGAGCGATTTGGCTGCTGCATAAATTAGTTTGCTCTGGAGCCATCCTTTCTGAGCGAAGACAAACATGTGTGAGCTGGCAGGTAAAAAACGGTGAGCTAGCTCACACTGACTCAGCTTAGAGGGAACACTGGATATGAGGTGGCCGAAGCCGGGGAAATCCCCATCAAAGTAGACAGTATTTAGCCCAGATGGGCCAGGGGTCTGACTGAGAGCCAGTTTGGTGTAGTGGTTAAGAGCGCGGACTGTAATCTGGAAGAACTGGGTTTGAGTCCCCATTGCTCCACATGCAGCTGCTGGTGTGACCTTGGGACAGTCACAAGTTCTTTCAGAGCTGTCCTCTCAAGGGCCGTTCTCGAAAGAGCTCTCTCAGCCCCGCCTACCTCACAGGGTGTCTGTTGGGGGAGGGGAAGGGAAAGGGATCGTAAGCCACTCTGAGACTTCTTTGGGTAGTAAAGGGTGGGGTATGAATCCAGTCTTCTCCTTCTCTTCCTCCTCCTCCTCCTGTATAAGGGAGTGTCTTCCTCTCCTTGTGTTTGTGGGTGGTGGGAGGAGCCATCCATTTGCAACTGACTTACGGCGACTGGGTTGAGAGTGTTGGCTTGGGTTGGTGAGGCGTGGATTTGAATCCCCACCTCTGTAACGTCGCTCATTGGGTAATGTTGGGCGGGACCATGGCTCACAGGTGGGCGCCGGTTTTGCACGCAGGGTTCCGGAGTTCAATCTCTGACATTGCTAGTTATAAGATAGGGAAGGATCTTTCTCTGCCTGAGGTCCTGGGGAAATTTGGCTGTCAGAGAAGGCGATGCTGGTCTAGATGGACCAGTATGAAGGGAACTTCATACGTTCACCAAATCCGACCCGTTCTTCTCTCTCCCTTACACCTGTTGGGGAAGTGTCCTCTCCGAACTCACTGCTCCGAGCTCCATGCAAGATGTATGCATAAAGAATCTGCTCATGCTTCTTAATGTGTTTTGGTTGCTGCATTTGTTGTTCAGTCGCACAGTCGAGTCCGACTCTTCGCGACCCCATGGACCAGATCTCGCCAGGCCCTCCTGTCTTCCGCCGTCCTCTGAAGTTTGCTCAGTTTCATGTTCGTTGCATCTATGACACTGTCTAACCATCTCATCCTTTGCCGTCCCCGTCTTCTTTGACCTTCAATCTTTCCCAGCATCAGGGTCTTCTTCTCCAGTGAGTGCTCCCTTCTCATTGGGTGGCCAAAGTATTTGAGCTTCAGTTTCATTATCTGGCCTTCCAGGGAACAGTCAGGGTTGATTTCTTTTAGGATTGACTGATTTGATCTTCTTGCAGTCCAAGGGACTCTCAAGAGTCTTCTCCAGCACCATAGTTCAAAAGAATCTATTATTCGGCGCTCGGCCTTCCTTATAGTCCAACTCTCGCAGCCATACATGACTACTGGGAATACCATTGCTTTGACCATGCGGACTTTTGTTGGCAGGGTGATGTCTCTACTTTTTATCATGCTGTTTAGGGTCGCCATCGCCATCTTTGCTGCATAGAGGGAAGTATTCAGATACTGTAAATTAAATTATGTGAGCAGGGGCTTGTAGAGCCTCTGCCTGGCATGCAGGAGTTCCCAGGTTCAATCTCCGGCATCTCCAATTAAAAGGACCAGGCAGGAGGTGGTATGAAATAGTTTTCTCTGCCTGGGACCCTGGAGAGCCACTGCCAGTCCTGAGTGGACAGTATGACTTTGATGGACCAATGACCTGATTCAGTATTAGTCAATTTCATGTGTTCAAACTAAGCCTGAAAAGAGCACCCTGAAACAGGAACGTAAGAGAAGCTAAGCAGGGTTGGGCCTGGCTAGTATTTGGATGGGCGACTTCCAAGGAATACCAGGGGCGTAACGCCGAGGCAGGCAATAGCAAACCATCTCTGAAACATCTCTTGCCCTAAAAACACTTCTAGCTTGCCACCTATTGTATAATGCTAAAGGTGCTAGAACTTCTGGATGCCAGGCAATCTGAGGATTTCATAGCTATACTACACACATTGGCATACAATAATGAATGAATAAGAGAAGCTATGATGGATCAGGCCAATGGCCCATCCAGGCTGACGCTTTGTGTCACACAGTGGCTAAAACCCAGATGCCATCAGGAGGTCCACCAGCAGGTCCAGAACTCCAGAAGCCCTCCCACTGTTGCCCCCCCAAGCACCAAAAATACAGAGCATCCCTTGCCCCAGACATAGTGCTCCGTCTATAACATGTGGCTAATAGCCACTGATGGACCACTGCTCCATGTGTTTATCCAATCCCCTCTTGAAACTGTCTGTGCTTGTAGCTTCAGTAAGTTTCATGTGTTAATTACTCTTTGGGTGAAGAAGTGTTTCCTTTTGCCTGTTCTATGTCTACTACTCAATAATTCAATTGTGTGCCCACGAGTTCTTGTACTGAAAGCCAGGCCTAGACCAATTCTGCAGTTCCTTGGGAGCATAAGAACATAAGAGACGCCAATGTTGGATCAGGCCAAAGGCCCATCCAGTCCAACACTGCATCACACAGTGGCCAGAAATACCAGTGCCATCAGGAGGTCCACTAGTGGGGCCTGAACTCCAGAAGCCCACCCAGTGTTGCCCCCCCAAGCATCAGAAGTCCACCCAGTGTTGCCCCCCCCAAGCATCACTGTCCCAGACATAAGAGAAGCCAATGTTGGGTCAGGCCAAAGGCCCATCCAGTCCAACACTCTGTGTTACATAGTGGCCAAAAATACCAGATGCCATCAGGAGATCCAGCAGTGGGGCCAGGACACTAGAACCTCCCCACTGTTGCCCTTTCCCCCAAGTACCAAGAATACACAGCATCCCTTGCCCCAGACCCAGAGTTCCTATCTATACCTTGTGGCTAATAGCCACTGATGGACCTCTGCTCCAGATGTTTATCCAATTCCCTCTTATAAGAACATCAGAGAAGCCAATGTTGGATCAGGCCAATGGCCCATCCAGTCCAACACTCTGTCACACAGTGCCAAAAACACCAGGTGCCATCAGGAGGTCCAGCAGTGGGGCCAGGACTCTAGAAGCCCTCCCACTGTTGCCCCCCCCAAGAACCAAGAATACAGAGCATCGTTTGCCCCAGACTGAGAGTTCCTTGTGGCTAATAGCCACTGATGGACCTCTGCCCCATGTGTTTATCTAATCTAATAAATATCTAATGCTCCAACAGGACTGTCATTCTTACTTTCCACGATGCACCTGAAGATGTGGTAAGGGGCAGTTTGTGTACCTTGCCTCTCCTGGAACCCCACCGAGGGTGGCCCCATCCCCCCCCCCCATTTAATATACTGCCTGCTGGCACGAAACCACCCAATTTTCTCTCCAGCTTCACCTGCCCCCTTAGAAGTCTTGGCTGTCGCTGGGATTAAATAACAACGTTTTAAATTTTCCGAGCCACTTCTTTTGGGACACACAAATGGTCCCTAATCAGTGCTCTTAATTGTATACCGGAACAAAAGGTCTTAGTCTTTTTTTCTTTTTTTTTTAAGTCAGCACACGGGATCACCTTGGGTGAATCGATAAAAGAAATTAAACACACTTGCCGGCTGCAGCGTCTCTGAAGCCCACCAGAAAAAAAACCATCCATGGCCATCAGAAGAAGTGTGGTGGTGCCAATCAAGGGTCTATCTCAGGGGTGTCATTTGTTTCGAGGGCCGGATCTGACATAAATGAGACCTTGTCGGGCCGGGCCACGTGTGTCATAAAATGTAATGCCAGGTAGCGGAGATACAAACTTCGTAAAGGGCACAGACACAAAGGGTCTCTTTTTTACTTAAAATAAAAACATGCTTAAAACATTAGCTCTGTAAACTACAAACCTACTTTCGATTTGTTGACATTCGCCACAGAAATCTCCTGCTGAGAGTTCTGAGTCTAGGACCCAGGTTAAAACATGAAATGGCTGAGTTATTAAGAGAGTCTGGCGAAGCAAGCTATGATGCAGCAGCAGCAGCAGCAGAACTGGAAGCAGGAGACGGGCCACTTCCACTGTCGGCCTGACCTGGCCCCCGGGCCGCATGTTTGACACCCCTGGTCTATCCAGTCCAGTGTCCTGTGGTCCACAGCAGCCAATCAGATGAACCCAGAAGGGCGTGGAGATCACGCCTCTACCCCTAAACTGCTGCCTCCCAGTTTTGATATTCGGAGTATGACTGCATCTGAACATGGCCATCCTGGCTAATGGCCCTTAATAGACCCCTCCTCCATGGATTTCTCTAGTTCCCCTTCAAAGCCATCTGTGCCAGCGGCCATCACCGCACCTTGTGGCAGTGAGTTCCACAAGTTAAGGTTCCGTGTGAAGTACTTCAGTCTCAGAGGGCAGCTGCGTTGTTCTGCAGTAGAGCAGCTAGGCTTGAGCCCACAGAGCAGTCCACCGCAAACACCCTCCTGGCCCTGTTCTGGACGCTGTCGGTGTATAAATAGTTAGAGAACTGCTTATTCCGATACACATTTTCTTGACTTGCCTAAGATTAGTTCCCCCCCCCCCCTTTTGTGCTGGTGAAGATTGGTTCAACACTATTCCTGCCCTATAAGTCAGTGGTGGGGGACAAACCTCCATTTCATGACTACCCAGCAAACTCCATATCAGTTTGGGGTAGTGGTTAAGAGCGCGGACTGTAATCTGGGAGAACTGGGTTTGGTTCCCCACTCCTCCTTATGCAGCCAGCTGGGTGATCTCGGGTCAGTCACAAGTTCTTTCAGAGCTGTTCTCTCAAGGGCAGTTCTCGAGAGAGCTCTCTCAGTCCCACCCACCTCACGGGGAGCCTGTTGTGGGGAAGGGAGGGGAAAGGAGATTGTAAACTGCTCTGAGATTCCTTCGGGTAGTGAAGGTTGGGGTATAAATCCAATCGCCTCCTCCTCTTCTGCAGAAATGTGTTGGGGTTTTTGACCTGCTAGGGCAACATCTCAGAAGACGTGGAACATTGATTTGGGTGATACTGTCCAGAACGGTGCTTGCTTGCTGTCCCCGGCGTGTCCTGGGGAAACTAGCAAGTACAAAAGCCCCCCTCCCCAGCCAGTCTGATAGCGTCAAGCGTGATTAATCCTGTAGGTTTTTAGTGGGCTTCAGCACGCTTCCACTTGTTTTACTGCGGAGGTTTCGCTTCTACCCTTGGTGGAGAAGAGTCGGAAGCGTAAGGTGCTTTTCCTTCGGGTTCAGGTCTGCTCGGAATGCTGCTTTTGCACTAACTTCATACCTGTTGATTTATACCCTGCCATCGTTTATTAGCACAGCCTCTTAGCGTGGGCATAAATTACCCGTGTGTCAAAATGTGTTTTTACTGGTATTGCTTGTTTTAGCAAAATTTACAGCAGGTTACACCAGTGGTCGCAGGCGCAACTCCTCAAGGTTGATTGTGCATTCAGTCCTCGCCTCCGCTTCCTTCTGAAGACACTCATACACACAGTTTTCTCGCTGGCCTTCGTAATCCGTTTTAATCTTTACTTACACGGGCGCGTTGGGATCTTTTGATGCTACTTTGTGCCTTTTTGTGCTGTTTATGCTGCTTTTATTGTTGTAAATTGTGCTCATTGTGTTCCCCCCCCCCCCATTTTAATTGGAAAACCTTACCAGGTGAATTTTTGGGTTGGTGACTAGTGTTCCCTCTAAGCTGAGTTAGTGTGAGCTAGCTCACAGTTTTTTAGCCTCCGGCTCACACATTTTCACCTTAGCTCAGGAAGGAGGGCTCCGGAGCAAACTAGTTTATGCAGCAGCCAAATTGCTCGCTTACAACTTTAATGCCGGCAGCTCACAAAGTAGAATTTTTGCTCACAAGACTCCACAGCTTAGAGGGAACATTGTGACCGCACATAATATGATGTCTTCAAATAGCCGTGGGTCTGAGGAGGGGAGGAATGCCCCTCATGAGAAGGGAAGGAAGGATGCCCCCTGCAGGAGGGGAGGGTGCTACTTGTTTTGGCCTGTTCACATTTGGGGGCCACATGGTCTCAGATTCGTTAGCTGTACAACTGGGTCTGCTTTGAGGGAGCCATGGGGTGGCACTCTAACCTCACTCTTTCTTTTTACAGACCGGGCCTTCTCCTGGAACTGAGAATGGAGTGTCTCGTGACGCACTGGTGAGTCCCCAGAGGGGGAATTCAAAAATGTAACTTTCTTCTCAAACTGTTTGGCTTAATTCAAGTATTTCTGCCGGCAAGTAGTTCTCCTGAGTTGCTTCAGTTTGTGCCTCCCTTTCCAGGACCGAGGGCGAGGCATTAAGGCAGAAGGGGCTGAGACCCCTGTGCAAATACCCCGTGGGTAACCTCTGAACTTTGACCTTTGGCCATCTCCCTCCTTATCTTTCCAGGGATGAGACCTGGGTCATCCTAACCAATGCTCCCTCTAAGCCGCGGAGTCTTGTGAGCAGAAATCCTACTTTGTGAGCAACCGGCATTAAAGTTGTGAGCGAGCGATTTGGCTACTGCGTAAGTTAGTTTGCTCTGGAGCCATCCTTCCTGAGCGAAGACAAAAACCTGTGAGCCGGAGGCTAATAACCTGTGAGCTAGCTCACACTAACTCATCTTAGAGGGAGCACTGATCCTAATGCTCCCGATACTCCCTTGGAGGACTCACCTGCCCTTGGTCAGAGATTTCTCATTCCTAGAATGTCAGTGATCATGTTGGGTAAAGGCTACCGGAACAGTGTTTCGGTGATAGTGTTGAGGTTCTGCTTAATCTGGATTTTCTCTAGTACTCAGTGTAAAGCAAGTCCAAGGGTTTCATAGCTCCTAATGGAGAATCAGATGGCATAAATAGGACCCTCCTCACCCCGGGATGTGCAGACACTGCTTTTCCTCCTTTTGAGATGAGAGTGAACCACCCAATTTATTTTCACTTACCAATTTTCATTGTTTTTAGTCCAATATTTTTTAGTCCGTCTTTGCCATTCGGGCTCAAGGCGGATTACAGAGAGGCAGGTAAAGACAATCAACAAGGCAGAACATTTGGTGAACACTGAAATAGGATCTGAGTTGTAGAAGCAGCCAGAAATTGAAAAAGCAGAACTGAAGCAAAGTGTGTCGACACGATGCATTAGATGCTGCAGAATTACCCAGTGGGATCCAGCCCACAGCAAACTCTACACAGTACTAGAGAGAGCTCAGTGCCCAGTAATTTATCCAAGTAGCTTGACGACACCTTTTGTGCAGCGCTACCCTACTGCCTCCATAGGAAAGCTCCCTTGAATAATTCTGTTTAAATGGTGACGGTTCCATTATTGGGGAGAAAGGAAAGGAGAGGGCGGGGCTGGTGAGGAAACCTGTTGGCTTCAATTTTCATAACCCCGCCCCTTCATCTGCATAGCCCCACCCACAGCCCTGTGTCTTGGTCACTTGAGACAGCTTGCAAGGGCCGAGGATGTGTGCGTAATGTTCCGTTCATACCCCCTCCCCTCCACTCCCAGATTGCTCCAGCAAGCTTGCGTGTGTTTCCCAACCAGGTCTCCTTCCCCAGGCGCTGTTCTGTGCCAGTTTTTGGTAGCTTTAGCAGAACATCGTGTGCCTTCCGACCTTAGTCTGGGCCTTAATTTATATTTTTTTTAAAAAAATTAATTTTTCGCTGACACTGATACCTGTGCTTCGGCAGTGTGGTTTCCACGGAGCCCTGCACCATCTTTGCTCTTTTCTCCTCTTCCCCCCCCCCCAACCTCCGTGCCCCCCACCCTGCAGGCTGACAGAAATTACCTTCTGTTTAATTAACATCTTCTCCCCCTGCTCTTTATATACTGCTGCATAATTGCTCAGAGGAAAGAGAAACGCATAGCAGCTATATATCTATATATAGCCGTACGTATAAAATAGAAGTAATTCATTGGGAGAGAAGGGGGGGGGGAAGAATCACAAAGCAAAACCAGAATCCCTGAAATATAGCCCAATCTCATGATGGCAAATCTCCAGTTTTGGGCACTGGGGTGCCTGTTTTGGGAAGGGGTCTCTTTTGTGAAGGGGTCTCTTTCGCTCTCCGGCTGCATGATTTTCTTTTTGCTTCCTGTCTCCTGGCCTCTCCGTTGCTGTTTAGGGGTTGTCACTGTTTCCCGCCATACGTCTCAGAGACCTTCAGAAATGGCTGTTTGCTCCTCATCTACCACCCCGATCCTCTGTCTCTCTGGGTGTTTTTTACTGCCATAGACCTGGGGTGGCTGAACAAGCGGATGGGGTATTTTTGTTCCAAACTCGGTTTGCCTCTCCAGCAGGCTTTTGTAGCAGTCTTCCCCAAGGAAGTACGTGCCTGGCCCCTCCCCATTCAGACCCTTTGAAGTACGTCAGTCTGGGAGAGTGCGGGACCTGTCTTGCATTCTTTGACCCCCCCCCCCCCTTAAGATGAGCAGTCTGGTTGGTGTGTTTGTGTGCCGGTGGTCTCTACCCCTCCCTTGGACAGGGAATCCGCGTCAGAAACGAGTTCCCCTTCCCCATGGCAAACAAATACAGGCACACAGGTGAATCAGAGTGGGTTCCAGTGTTCTCTCTGTTAGTGTGAGCCGGCTCACAGTTTTTTAGCCTCCAGCTCACACATTTTCGTCTTAGCTCAGGAAGGACAGCTCCAGAGCAAACTAATTTATGCAGTAGCCAAGTCTCTCGCTCATAACTTTAATGTCAGTAGCTCACAAAGTAGAATTTTTGCTCACAAGAGTCCACAGCTTAGAGGGAACATTGGCATCTCCCCCCCCCCCCCACAAAACCCCTGGGGTTCTAAACTGAGGTTTTGTCATCTTAGAATCCTTGTTTATGGGGGAAGTCTAATTCTGCATGCCTGCATACGTTCATCACGGGTAGCCAGCGTGAGCTTCATGGTACAGTGTCGAAAATTGGGATAAAAATGCAATATGATTTCTCCTTGGCACTTCTTTCCTTTTTAGGTTTTTTATTGAAATCATGTTTTCCAACTTTCCGTGACCATGAGGGCTAGTAACTTAATCACGGCTGCCTATTAAGGCATTGAAAACGAAAAAAGACGAGACCCAAGATGTGGCTTTAATGCACTGCAGGCCCGCACCAGTCCCCTTGGAGTCACCTCCTCGCGTTCCGAGCGGTCTCTCTCCGAACGAGGGGCAGCGCCTTTTGTCCGCAGCGGTGGCGGCAAATGGACTGAGTCGAGGGAGGCGGCGGCCATCCATTATTATTATTATTGTTATTATTTTTAATTTTGGCCTCTCATTTCCCTGCTGTCGGTTTTGGCCCATTAAAATTCGCTTGGCCGCTTGGCGATGGGGAAGCGTAACCTTGCAGGATTGCCCGGCGTCAGCACCTCGCTGAGATGCACTTTACAACTGCGTTTGTCATTCGTGGTGTGGGATCGACCTCTCCTTGAG